GTGCTGAGAGAGCCAGAATCTGAAGCTTAAATTCAAGAGATCAATTAATCCTAACTACGATCTTCATACAGTCCTACTATTCTTATGTAATAAGAACCAGAAAATATAATTGATTGACAAAATATTTTGGTCCTTCGAGCCGGATATAGATAGATACTCTTGTTCAATATTTTAAAAAATAATAAAGGAAGAAAGGTAACACTATTCTATTGGAGATCTCTCAGCAGATTCCGCTATTTTCTAATTTCATAATATTATTGTTCTCTTGTTTATACATATATACGTTTGTCGTTACACTGCATTAATTACGTTTACCTGCCTTGTTCTCCTAACAATTGTGATTATTCTTATGCTTTTATATGTTTCAAAGTTCTGTGTTGTGATATCTCTATATGTGTATTTATGTGATTTGGAATATCGAACTTCCTATAATACTATTTTTTCTATCTGTTCTTTGAGTTATATGTCTATCCTTTTTTGACAAAAAATATATCAATGGAAAAAAGAGAAAGGAAAACGCAGATTCTTTACTCAAGGACAAAAGAAATCTAACGGTATAAAATCAATTAATTCAGTGCGATGGTATGGCGCAACAATTATAAATTTTCGTAAAACAAATCAGAGAATAGACATGAGCGACACAGAAGAATCAAAATTTTCGAAATCGATTGCGCCATACCATCGCACTGAATTAATTGATTTTATACCGTTAGATTTCTTTTGTCCTTGAGTAAAGAATCTGCGTTTTCCTTTCTCTTTTTTCCATTGATATATATTTTATCATTCACCATGCGTCTGAGTCATGTGAAAAATCGGGTAGAGCAACAAGCTCTGCTACGAGAACAGATTGTAACCGCGTACGATCAACTCATAAGAAACGGGATAGAAACTGTATCGCCTCAGCGAATTCAAGTGCGTCTTGAATTCCTTCGTGAATCATGGAGCAAATTTTCAGTGATACACGATGCGATTATTTTAAGTATGAACCTATTAAGCCAAGAAGACATATCATATTTGCATAATCTCGATTATTTTGTTGACAATGTGTTCTCAAGTACACAGGAACGGTATTTAAAATCAATTGAACGAATAAACTTACTTATGGAATCAGAACAATCCTTGAATGGATCGTCGACAACGCAACTAACGTCACAAAATTCACATAATTCAAGCATGCCTACATTTCTTCATCACGCAAGATTACCAAGACTTCAGATCCCCAAGTTCAACGGTTCACCAGTAGATTGGCTGTCATTCAAGGATCGGTTTAACTCAATTGTTATTGCAAACCCATCTCTTTCTTGTGTTGAGAAACTACAATATTTGAAAACTAGCCTAACGGGATCAGCAGCTCAATTCTTAAAAAACACTGCGCTAACATCTGACAATTTTCAAAAAGCCTGGGATGCTTTGATAGCTTTTTTCGAAAACAAAAGGATTCTAGTAAACTCTGCATTGTTTTCACTTATCAACCTAAAACGAATGACTAAAGAGTCCGCCTCCGAGATGGAAATATTGTACACGAACATTATGGAAATATACAGAACGCTTGAAACTTTACAACGACCAGTCGCATCTTGGGATGATTTCTTAGTATTCATCGCGGTTCAAAGACTCGATTCCGACTCTGTTAAAGCTTGGGAACATCATCTAGGCCCGTCAAAGGACCCTCCGACATGGCAGCAATTCACCGAGTTTTTAATGACTCGATTACTTTCCTTGCAAGCGTTCGAGAAATCAAGAGGCACGAAAGGTCCTGCACAACCTCGCCAGATCCCAGTGAAGGCTCATTTTCAAGGAAAATTAAAGGATCAAGCGGCTTTTAACTCAAAAACTTGTGGTATCTGTTCAGAGAATCATCATCCATCGAAATGTTCGCAATATGTCGCAATATGAATCAAAAACAGTACCTCAACCATAGCATTGATTGTAAAGCATAAATTATGTTACAATTGTCTAGGTCCTCATCGAGCAGCTACTTGTAAAATCACGAGACGTTGTATTAAATGTGGAAATAAACACCATACTACCATTCATAAATCTGATATGAAGCCTAAAGTTAATAAACCTGATGCGCTGAATTCGGAAAATCATTCCGATTCAGTTACTAAACCAATACAAAGTAACGTATTGCATTCTGCACTTGGAGTGCAGAAGTCTCTCCATCTACTCCAGTCTCTCCATCAGAAGTTCTCCTCGCAACAGCTCGTGTCAATCTCTTGAACGATAGAGGTGAAAAGCGTAAGGTGAGAGTCTTAATTGATCAAGGCTATGAGATATCTCTTATAAGGGAACGTGTAGTTCAGCTGATGCGAATTCCTAGAAAGATGACTGCTATTCCTCTCGTTGGAGTAGGAGGTGAACAGACGAATAAGACAAAGGGTCTTACTTCGTTTACCTTGCAATCATTACATGATTCACAATCTACTTGTAGCGTTACAGCTCACATCCTGCCAAAGCTCACTACACCTTTGCCTTCTGCAAAGATAACTACTACTGTATGGCCACACCTTGCGGAGCTCGAACTGGCAGATCCTGAATTCTCATTACCTTTTTTTTTTACCCGGTGGAAATCCTCATGGTCCGTCTCTCTGGGAAAGAGACGGGGTGGTGTGTGGGACTCACCCCCCTGTACTCCCGGGCAATTAACGAGCCGGGAGCCAGCGTGCAATGGGGGTGCCTACCTCACTAAAACCACCGGGGGTGGACTTCTCGGCGTTATATGGGGACTGCCAGGGCATCAGGGTCGCATTACTGCCCGACAGTCCCCGCGCCGCGCGCAGTTCTTCGCGCGTCCCTCTATGCTCCCTGATCTTGGGGAGCCTTGCCCTGACAAGGGCAAGTCCTCATAGTCCTGATAAGGACTCGTCCTGAGTTGGACTCTCTCCTCCTTCTCCTTGCAGCAGGGGTGCCACCCGGTCCCTGCTGCGCCCCCTCGTTGTTGTCGGGGGCGGGGTGAGTCGCAGTTCCCAGCTGCGCCCACCCCCATGGGTCTCAGACCCTCTCCTCTCCCCTTTTGGTCGCCTCTTACGACGGGCAGGGGCTACCCCGGGCCTATTCGTCGGCGGGACCCGGACGCCAGACACCCCGCCCGTTACGGGCAGGGTAGAACAGGGAGTGAAGCCTCGCAGGACTTGGACCTAAGTCCTCCTATCGCAAGGCTCCCTTCCCCTCCCTCTCTCTCGGCTGGTGTTGACCGAGTTACGGTGAGACGATCACCGTATCCGTCTCTGAGTCAGGCTCCCGACTGGAGCCCAACTCCGGGGAGCACTCCATGGAGCACTCCCCTCCTCCCTCCTTCGCCGCCCTTTCTTGCGAAGGGGGGCGACCAGACGGAAGAGTGGGGTCGCCTCTTGCACGCACTGGCTTACCGCCGGGGGCTCGGCCGCACCCCACTCCCCCCAACTTGTGGGCGGACGGGAGCCCGAGGTCCATACACAACGGACATCTCTGGGCCCCCGTGCATCCTCTCGACAAATGTCCCGCGGTGCGGCAGCGGAAACAGCGGTCACCGCGGTCCACCTTATCGGTGCACCGTTGCCGGAGGTGACCCTCTTTGAGGCAACGGAAGCACCTCTTCGGGCGGGGCTGCACGAGCGATATCTTCGCCCAGCAGAACCCCGCCCGAATCCTCTCCTTGGGTGCTAGCACCCGCGCAGCCCGGACTGGGCATCGCACAAAGGCAACGCCTTGTTGCCAGGGGAGGGAGCGAGGCAGCATTGAAATGCCGACCTCCTCCGTCCTACACCCCCCCCCCCTCCGAGGCGATGCTGCTGGCCAATTCGCCTGCCGTCACCAGATCGTCCAGGCCGGTGACCCGCAGTTCCGCGGTAATCACCGGCCTGGCGATCCTCGCCCCTGTGCCTTCCAGGGCGCCCGCCAATTTTTTGGCCAGCGCAGCCGCGCCAGCCTCTCTGCGCTCCCTGGGGATCTCAAAAACGAGACCCCCGTTCGCGCTCCTCCTCGACGTCATGCCGTCGACCCCCAGACCGCTAAGAGAAACCTTCTCCTTCGCGGTCCGGAGGACGGCGGCATACGTCCCCGGTGTCCCGTTGGGAACCGTGATCGTGACAGCGGCGGTCCCCGGTTCCCGCGGGAGGCGGATCGCCCCGCCACCGCTCCCCGGTTCCCCGGCTAACCGCCCCGCACGCCGTGTCCTCTGGGACCTTCCACCCCGTTTGGGTGCGGTCCCTGGGCCATTACCCTCGGCCCTCCCGTCGCTCACGCGTTGGGCCTCCACAGCGACCACTGGGGGCCCGTCTTTTCGCGCTGGCCCCCGAGGGGGCTTAAGCGCCTCTAGGCTGGCCTCCACGGCCTTCCACCTAGCCTCGAAGGCCGCCCCGATGTCCCGAGTGATCCCCTCGCGGAGGCCCCCCAGCCACGCCGGCGCCGCTCCCGAGTCCGCTCTCCCGTCCAGCGAAGGACCTCCATCCTTAGCCGGAGTGTCCTCTATGAGCGTCTGAGACGCCACGCTTGCACTGCAGGGACCCCGCGCTTGACACGCCACCTCCCTAACAGCGGGCTTCCTTAACTTCACCGCCTCGACCATCGCCAAGCTGGCCCGAAGCTCATCGCGCTCGGCACGGTAAGTCGCTCTCTCCTGGATACCAAATATCTTCCTGCGGAGGCAGTACACCCCCGTCATCGCAAAGGCGATGCCCTCCTCAAGCAGCGTCCTTGTGGCCGTCTCTATCTGATCCAGACCTTCCCCCCTCTTGTGGAGCTGTGAGTTCCAGTCCTCCAGTTCCTCAAAAACCCTCTCCACGAGCTCCTCCGTAGGGAGAGAGATCATCCCCTCATATCCCTCCTTGAAGGGAACCCGCTCGTCCACGAATATTGCACCGTGGACAATCTCCCACCACGGTCTGGTGTCACGACCGTCGCCGGAGGACCCGCCCGTCTCCATCCTTCCTACCTTGACGGACGGCTCCCCCGACGCTTCCCCTTCATCGAGAAGAGGATTCCTCCCTTGGAACTTGAATTGGAATTGATGTTTGCCTGCCATTTCAAGAAATCCCACTGTCCACCGCGGCTGCCCTGGCCAGGGCGTGCCCTCCTCCCCCATCTCTGGGGGAGGCCCCGAGTCCTCCCGGGGGGCCAAGATATGGCACGGGCCGGGAGGTATTCCTCACCCCGGCACAGGCCTCTAGCCCCTTACACGCCCCCTCGCTCAGTGCGAGGGGGTTTTCGGGGGTCCTGTGTCACCGACTCCTCAGGCACCGCGGTGGTGCCGCCACGCGGGGGGCCCCATGGACGGTTGGGGTGTCAGGAGCGGCCCGTCCCCCCTCCACCTTACCCGCCATGGCGACCGGCCGTAGTCGCTTCCTCCGCCTCCGCCGGGGGGTAGTCCTCGCTACAACGCGAGGGCCGTTACGATGGGCTCCCCGGCACGGGGAACAACAGGGTCGTGACTCCCTGAGGTGCCCCTCGTCCGAGCAGGCTGCCGCCGCAAGCCGGGGGGAAAAGACACCCCCGGCCCCAGCAACAGCCCCCCGCCTTCGGCCCCCCGGACCCCGACCTGGGAAACGTCCCAGCGGTTCCGGAGGGTCCCAGGCCACCGAGCCCCGCCTCGGAAACGTCCGAGCGGCCCCGGCAGCCCGTCACCTCGTTACGGACGGGCGGGACCGGCCCCCATGCCAGGACGCACGTCCCAACAAGGACGTCGCCCCGAGACACAGGGTGTACCGGCCCGCATTGTCCGTTGCCGGACCCACGTGACTGTGGGCCCGGCCCCTCACTGTCCGCCCACCCAGCGACCCGCACCACGTACGGTGATGCCGCCAGGGTCGGACCCTCCCCCGCCGCCGAGACAGGACCACGTCCAGCCCAGCGACGGGAGAGCCACCCCCCGCAACTCTGCCGGAGCACCGGCGTGCAATGAGTTACGGAGGGTCTTGCGGAGCGCTCTTGGTCAGCGGACGCCCGACCTAAGGAACCGCCGGAGCCTAAAAACGGCACACGGACGGCTCCCGGTCGAACGCCCGCCTAAGCCCCCCCACCACGATAAGGTGGCGCTCCACGGGGGGGGGAGAATTCTCATTACCTGGCGCTATTGACATAATTATTGGTTCTTATTTCTATAGTCACATTATACAGGACGGTTTAGTCAAAGGAGTTATTAACTCACCGACAGCTCAGCGCACTATCTTTGGATGGATCATTTCTGGTCCGTGTGGCTTTCAGCCAAATCCTAATTTGTCGTCATCTGCTCCATGTGGCTTACAGCCAACTCCTGTTGTGTCGCAAAGCTATCACGTTTCCCTTGATAGGGAATTATTTGAGGTCTTAAGTCGTTTTTGGGAACTAGAGGACATTCCTTGCTCGTCAAGATCTCTGCTTTCAACCGAACATCACGCATGTGAGGATCATTTTCAATCTACTCATTCTAGAGATGAGAATGGTCGCTACATTGTAAGATTACCTTTTAAAGATTCAGTGAGTCAGCTTGGAAATTCAAAGATTAAGGCTCTTCGGTTAATATCTAGGATGAAGAACACATTTGAAAACGATCCCGCATATAAATTTACTTACTTCGATTTTATGAACGAGTATAATCAACTCCAGCATATGCGCATTGTTTCTGATCAAAAGTATGACCCCCCTTAAGTATACTATTTGCCTTATCACGGTGTAATACGAGAAACCAGTCTTACTACTAAATTAAGAGTAGTCTTTAATGGTTCAAGCCGTACTACCTCTGGATTGTCATTAAACGATATTTTACATACCGGAGAAAAATTGCAAACTGATTTGTTCAATGTTTTAATCTGGATGCGAAAATTTCTCTATGTTTTTTCTACAGATGTAGAAAAAATGTACTGACAAATAAAGGTACACTCCGATGACTGGAATTTTTAGCGAGTACTCTGGTTTGACCAGTCCGATAATATTACCGCTTTTCAATTGACTACTGTGACCTATGGTCTAGCATGTGCACTCTTCCTTGCGCTCCGTACTTTATTACAACTGGTCAAGGATCACGGGGACCAGTACCCTTTGGCAGTGCCAAGCCTCACCAAAGGACGATACGTTGACGACATATTTGGAGGAGCTGACTCTATTCAGCAAGCACAAGAAATAGTAACGCAATTAAATAATCTCTGCATGGCAGGCGGTTTCCCTCTGCAAAAATGGTTCTGCAATCACCCAGATATATTAGCATTTATTCGAAACGACAAGAAGATCCTTTCTTCATCAGTTGCCATCGAAGATAATACCATGGTAAACATTCTAGGTTTATTCTGGCAACCGTTAATGGATACCTTCCAATTCCAATTCAAAAATATATCTACTGGTTCTGTTACCAAACGATCCATCTTATCTACCATAGCAAAGTGTTTTGATCCTCTCGGTTTTCTTTCTCCTATCAGTATAAAAGCAAAGATTTTATTGCAAGAATTGTGGTCTCTCAAGCTCGAATGGGATGATCCATTACCACCACCTCTTTCCGCTGAATGGATTAATTTTCTTCAAGATCTACAGGAGATTTCAAGCTTGACTTTTCCTAGATGGTTAGGCTCCACTTCTGACACGAAACTCGAAATACATGGGTTTTGTGATGCATCTCAGCGAGCTATGGCAGCAGTCGTATACTTGCGAGCAACATCTCCTGATGGAAATACAAAGGTCACCCTGGTTTGTGCAAAAACGAAAGTTGCACCTCTGAAACGACTCACAATTCCGAGGCTTGAATTAGCAGGAGCAGTTCTTCTAACAAAGCTAACTACTCAAGTTATACAAGTGCTTGAATTACAATCAGCTCCAATATATTTATGGACTGATTCCTCCGTTACTTATACATGGATAAGCCAGCATCCATCTAAGTGGAAAGAATTCGTGCAAAACAGAGTATGCTTCATACAAGAGACCTTGCCACATGCATTATGGAAGTTTGTTTCTGGAAAGGAAAACCCGGCCGATCTCGCAACACGAGGATTATTATCTGTCCAACTAAAGGAAAATCCTGGGGGAGAGGGAAAAGATGGCGGAGTGAGAGGAAGTGAAGTTAAGAGGCCGGAGAGAAAAGGCGAAGGAAAGGTGGAAGAAAGTGAGCTGGAGTGGAAGAAAGCACAGGGATGGAAGGAGGACAAGGAGAGGCAGTAAGGGAAGTGGAGGAGAAGAAAAGGAGAAAGGAGGAGAGAAGATAGAAGGAGGTAAAGAGAATAGGAGGATGAGTCGGCAGATCTGAAAGAGGAAGAAGGACGAGGAGTGGGGAGGAGGTCGATCGGACGGAACGAGAGATCGA